GCAAATGATGAGGGGAAAGAAATGTGACAAACTGCTCAGATGGATCATCTTCTTTTTCCCATCAGATCCAAGAGAATAAACAAGGATGTGGTGAAAAGGATAATGTGAAATTGCTTGCATTTTTTTCCAGTGAAATTGTTATTTTGCAGATGAATTTTAATCATTACCAGCTTTGATTGAGGGAAAAATGTAATTACCTGCCTCAAGCAAATCTAGTCAAGTAGATTTTTATGTTTAATTTAAAGGTATACTATGCAGGATTGCCGGTTACTGTTTGTAAAGTAAAAGCTAACCTCCGATTTACTCTTGTTTGGTGTTTTGCCTTGCTATATTGGCATTTTTTTCGGCACTGTATCTCTTGGGCACCTGCTGCTTATGGTCTTGCACCTGGTTGCTACCTTTTAATAAAGCCCCAACCTCACCTGAGCACTGGGGGACATGCCCATGAACTTCCCAAACATGTTAAACAAAAGGAAAATAAGGAAATGCCAATAGGGGTCAGAGTCTTTTAGGACAATCCTGCATAGTACATCTTTAAATGAATGGAAATCAATGGCTGCCTAAAGGGATCAACGTACAAACGTGTGATATGCTTTGGAAAAATGTCAGCACTAATGTAACTTGAATGGTTTGTTAATAGGCTACCATGCATATCCAATGGTATGGTTATTGAAGATGCTGCCTCTGCACAATTTAAGGTCCTCAGATGCCTCCGAGACCAACTGTGACACGTCTGGGAAAGGTAGCAGCCGCCAAGAGTTCAGACAAGGTTGTGGTGGTGGTGGTGGTGGTGGTCAGAAGACGGGGGGGAGGGAAAGTCATGTGGGGTTAATTGTGAGATTACACACAGCAAAGCAGTGAAGTTAGAGGATGAAAATATACAAAGCTTGCGCTTGTGCACTCATACAGTCGTCATATGGCATCGTAGGACATCAGAACAATGTCTAGTACCCATAATAATCAGAATTATCTCTAGATCTCTATATAGATGTGGAAAATAAAATCATCACTAAATAGAATATAGAGCGTATTTACATTCTTTATCTACACAGGAAACTAGACCCCGGCGGGCCCGGTGGTGGCCGATCACACAGCCAGCTGGACTGACTGACAGCAGCAGTGGCCAATCACGCTGAAGCATGTATGCTTGAAGGGCGGCGTACAGTTCTACAGTGACAGGACAGTTGAGAGATGGGATAGGGTAGCTGTGCACAGAACCATTACAGGAGATTTACCCAGAGATGTTTCAATGCTGGAAATGTGCTGTTTGTTGCCAAAGATATTTTGTTTCTGTCTTTCATTTGTTTTATGACTATTGCCAGAGTTAGTACACAGTGCATAGAAAGATGTTATGTTCTTCACTTTAGTCAAACATATGCCTGAACAGAGAGAAAGAAAAAGTGCTGCACTCTGGAAAAAGGTCGTCAAGGCTCTTCAGGTTAGGTTAGTGATGCGTTCACTGTCACTTTTCTTTCATGATGTGAAAAAAAACATTTTCATGTGAATAAATTAGGGCTGAAATTATTGATTTTTTTCATTACGATTAATCAGTCAATTATTTTCTCAATTAATTGATCAGTTGTTTGGTCTATAAAATGCCCAAAAAATGTAGGAAAATGTCGATCAGAGTTTCCTAGAGCCCTCAAATGTCTTGTTTTGTTCTCAACTCAAAGATATTCAGTTTGCTGTCAGAGCAGCCCAATTGCCAGAAGAAAATGTTGGCATTGTATGTTTAGCAACCCACAAATACATTATATTTGCACATTTCATATGTATCATATCAACGTTTCTAAAGGGACGTAGCATATGAGCTGACTTTGTCATCAGGTGGCGGAGGAGATGGTGGACTATTACATCAATGTGAGATGCCTGTCAAGCTGTGGGCCACTGTTCGAGACCAACAAACAACAAAACCGGTTGTTTTTTTGGCGAGTTATTGCTGTTTTTCCTGTGGCACTTAAGCTGCCAAATATAGGTGTTTCTTAGCAACCTGTGGCCCTTTTTCCAGCTGCGTTTCGGCCCCCAAATATGGGTGCTTTTAAAGCGACTTGTTGCTGTTTTTCCAGAGGGGATTGTGGTCCCAAAAATTAAGCATAGCATTAGTTCAGGCAGGACACGATGTCAAGCTCAGCTCACATCCCAGCTACATCAGCTGATCTCAAACAGCCCAATCAACTGATGGAGCAGCTGATTGATGGAAGGGAGTCAGCTAATAGATCACAATTCCTTTCTATGTAGCCAACTGGTGAATCTCATTCAGGGTGCCCTATTTAAACTGCTCTGGCCTGCCTACTGTTGCTGCTTCCTCTGCAAGCTGCTTTGCAACCACCAGCTCCTGCTTTTCATGTTGTATCTGACTTATCAATGCCATTTCTGTTTGTCATTGATGCTGCTCTGTTCTGTTCCCAGGGGGTCTTTGCTGCTGCTCTCCCTGCCTTAGGCTTTCCATGTAGGCGCATGGAAGGGCAGGGAGGTTTGCTCTGTCTGCCTCAGGCTTTCCTCATTTGCACGTGGAAGGGCAGAGAGGCGTGCTATCTCTCTGCCTTAAGGCTTTCAACGTAGGCATGCAGAAGGGTGGAAAGGTGTGCTCTCTTTGCCTTAAGCTTTCTGCGTAGGCCCGAGGAAAGGCAGAGAGGCCCCAGAACAGAGCCATGCCGCCAACTATAATGCTAAAAATGAAATTAAAGTTTTCTTTGACCAAAGTGTTCCTGACTGAACTGGGAATTTCAAGCCAAAACATGATTTGTTCCTAACCATAACAAAGTGTTTTTTGTGTTAAACCTAACACAAATTGACCACAGCGTTGTTGAAATGTAACGTTCAACATAAATGCTACTTAACAATGTGCAAATGTAATGTAACCTTGGTTTGCAGAAATGTACAATGTCATCTGGTGATCAGGTTGCAAAGAAAACAGAAAATACTGCTGGAATCAGCAATTGCTGGAATCAGAGAATTTGACTTTTTTTAATCTAAAAAATTATTCACACCAATTAATCAACCATCAAATTAGTTGGTGATTGATTTAATAGTTCACAACTAATCCATTATTTGACATGATGGCAACTTGATACACACCTGAGCCACACAAACAACACCACACTGTGTTATCTGGATCTGAAGAGCCTCTCTAACCTCTTTGTAAATGTGTGGACGTCTTCTCCAATCACATACGTGGCCCATATACCTTTATTGATCTCACTCTGACAACAGGTATTTCTCTGTAGCGTACAACAGCAAAGTGTAGTCGCCAACTCTCCAAAAATCAATTCACCGGTTGCCTATTGAGCGCTATCCATCCTCTCTAATCCATGTAACATCAAAGACACTTCAAATGAAGCAAAAAATCTTTCCAGAGCATCCATTATCATTCGACAGAATGAGGATGATTACTGCTTTTGAGGGCTTTTTCTGAAAACCAGCCACGTCAATGACCTACAGTGTAATATATACGATGTTATAATGACACCCAGGCCACATTATTTGCAGCACCCTTGTAAACGAGGGCCTGGTTGGTGACTACTGCATGAGCTGGCAGTGTTTTCAGTCTCTTTGAATCGTAAAGAGTATAATGGATCTCTGGTGGCCTTCTGCAGCGATGAAGTGAATTTAATGGACAAAAAAGATGAACATAGATTGCACATAATCTTTCTGTAAAAGCTCTGTTGAGCACAGCTGTCATAATTTAGTGATAGTGCTTTTTTAAAGTTTGTTATTTAAAAATTTGTGCCCTGCTGTGAGTGGTAGAAACCCATGTTTGATTTCATGGGTGGAAATACATGTTCTTTTGCTGCCAGAGTGTAAGCCTACTAAGCTGCCGTTAGCTTCCTGTGCTCTATAGACACACTGGAAAAGTTGGCTGTATAGATCCTACTGGCTGCCAGAAGGTGTTCCACTGCATCGTATCGGCTGCTGAGTTAGGAAGTATTAGAATAGGAGGAAATGGCCTCAGCAGTGGAATAGCTGGAGTTAATGGACAGGACGACAGAGAGAAAGAAAATGATGAGAAAAGAGAGAGTCCTGTTTTTACTAACTATAGTGTCAAAAACCTCAAGTTTCCCACGGAAACAGGCGTCCCAACAATTCAATGGCCTTTTTAAGTTTCAAAACAAAAGGAGAAAAAAAAAAAAACTTTAAATAACAACGGCAAACTGAAATAAAAGCCTAAAAGAAACTTCTAATTTCTCTATTTTATTTTTTTTTTTGCTAGGACTATCAATGTGGAAGAATGAAGAGGCACATAAAGAAACCAAGGCAACAAGTACGCTCCTCTCCATCCTGAGAGTCAGAGAGAGTCGGTACAAGGAAGGTGGAGGGGGTGGTTTGTTTGAGTTTGTTCGGTTGTTTATGTGTGTCCGTGTATTTTTGGAGACAACAGGAGAGAATCTGTCGAGAGGAAAGGGCGTGGGAGGTGACTGGATAGAGATATTTAAAAAACTACTGAGACTGCGTCCGTCTTTTTCAATGTTTTATAGACTGTCTTGTTAAAAGCGATGTTCTGGCTGATTGTCCAGGCAGCATGGCGTCGTGACTGATTGTCCGTGAAGTCTTACCGACCACTGAGAGTAGTTTTATATTACCTGGTTGAAGCTGTTTGCCACAACAACAACAACAATTTCACCATCTGTTTTTATCATTAATATAGCAGCGTGACAACAGCTTAATTTTGTGAAATAGAGCCTACTGCGTTGTCTGAGGAGACTGCAGGTGTGAAGGCCGGGCCTCCATGTTGACAGAGAGGGTAACAAAAGAGCAGGGATGTAGAGGTAAAAACGTAACTGAGTAAAAAGTCAAAGGTCAGACAAGAGCATGTGTGCGTGCATGTGTGTGCCAGCCGATCAGAGTCCAGAGGAGGAGGAGGAAGTCAGGGCTTCTGTTAGTAACCATCCAGAGACAGAGGAGAAGAGAGGGGTGTTGTGGGTAATAATAAAAGGGTGGAAGAGGGAGAAGATTCAGTCACATGAGGATGCAGCACTCGCAGCATTTCCTCTTGTCTGTACCTGTGGGGGGGGTGAGGCCGGGCGGGGGGGCCGTGTTGGCTTCAGGGTTAGCGGGGGGTGAGGAGGCGCTGTCGGGCTCGCGGCCGTCGGATGACAGTTCCGTGCTGACGGCATCAGACGTGGCCGGCCGCCCTGACACGAGGTCAGCCGCCGTGCCGTCGATGATGGATAGGTCGGTGACCGTTTTCTCCCTCAGCGATTTCTCGTCATCTTCGTCGATGAGGACCACCTCGGCCTTCACAGCGCCGTCAAAGCCTAGCAGCCGCCTGCTCTCGCTTGTGTCCTCAACGTCCTGGTAGCCGAGGAACACCATGGTGACTGGGTGCTCTGCGGTTGCTTGGGGTGTGTTGGTGAGCTCGCCGCCCGGGTGAGCTGAGGAGCCAGGTTGGGTTGTAATGGGAGCAGAGGGGGGCATCATACCAAGCCGGGTCTCCCTCTGGAGGACGACCTGTGCTGGTGGGCTCGAAGGAATGGATGGCGGGGCGCAGGAGGGTGGTGACAGATCGTCAACATCTAATGGTGAAACATAAGCCTGCGGGGCAGCTTGGGTCACCGTCACCTGACCCCTGCTGCCATCTACTCCGTGTACAGCAGGTCTGGCAGCACGCTGGATCAGCTGGTCCACCTGCGCCGAGCTCCAACCGTTCTCCATGGTGGTGGTGGACACGCCCCCAGAGGAACTGACCTCATAGACCACTTTCCTGCCGTCGTCGTAGACTTTGACGCCACGCGATGCCGCGTCCAGCGGGCTCACACGGTTGGCTGACAGGACGCGCTGCTCGCCGGTCTGTGGGTCATGCTGCACGTTGATCTCCATGGCAAACATTGCTGTTAGAAGGGGAGGGAGGGAGGGGTGGAGGAGTGAATGGGTGGGGAGGAGAAACAGGGAAAGTGGGAGGGGTTGAGGCAGAAGGGAGTGGGGTTTGAAGGAGCACAAGTGAAGGGGTGGGGAGGAACCAGTGGAGGAGGTTGGGGGGGGGGGGGAGGAAAAAGTGGAGGGAGTGAAGCATGAGGACGGGGACACAGTGTTCTCTGAGAAATCTGCAGCATAACTTTCTTATTCAAAGTGCTGTATATGAAGTTAGTAAACACAAAATGTTACCTTAACTTTGTCCTTTAGGGATGCAAACCACAGATGCAGGTGAGTGAACAAGAAGAAACACACAACTTTCCCTTACTGTGTCTAATCTAAGTGACGACATGTGTACTGTAGATATCTAGTAGACTACAGGTATTTGATAGTGTGATATGAGGCTACTTATTGTTTTAGATTTTGGTTATAAAGCCCCATTTCCACCGAGCAGTACGGTACAGTTCAGTTCAGTTTAGTGCCTTTTTATCGCCACTGTGAAAAGTTGTGAATGGTACCAATGGAACCATTCCGTACCATCCCCATTTTTGGTCCCCCCTCTGTTGGGGTACCTAGCACACAGATCTGGTACTAAAAGGTGGAGCTGTGAACACTGCAGTCTGTTGATTGGTCAATAGAGGACGGTCACTCTGCTCAGGGCTGAGTTGTGGCTGGTTTTGAGGCTCATTCTCCACTGTTCATACTGTGGAGAGTTTCATTAGTAGACTGTAACTATAAAATGAAAGGATGTTTTGCTGCCTCTCGCAGCAGCTGGAGTCGGAGAAAATAATAACGTAATTCAGTGGGCCGACTGCCGGCGACTTTTAAGGTGGAACGTTACTTGTAATGTTACTCAATGCATGAGCTGACGACGAGAATCCATCAACACACCTTAAATTTTACTGTGACCATTACTCTTCATATGACATATACTTTTAGTAATGAGTGGGTCTTCAAGCTTTCAATAATATCTATTAATTTCAACTGGCTAATTTTAATATCCCATGGAGAGAGACTCTCACTGCAGCCTGTTTTATTTTGTTCTGAAAATGATGCCGTACAACCTCGTTCTCACCAGGGACCGGAGCAAGTGGAAGGGACTTGTTGCCCGATGTTCCAATAGGAGCGGGAGGAACTAAGTCTAAGTAAGTCAGCCTCGTTCTGTGTTGGCTAAACAAGGTGAAATACAGTGAGTGCTGGACGGAGCAGTGAGTGACAACAACCACATTTAAGGGTACTGTTTGAAGTGGAAACACTAGGGTCTAGGTACCATGTCTGAAGGGTTACTTTTGGTTCCAAAGGTACCATACCGAAAGTGTTTGGTGGAAAAGGGGCTTTAGTCATTACATGCACATTACTGAAGATTATTTATCAGAAAACTCAGTGTATAAATACTAGCACTGAAAGTTAAACCTATAATATAGCTGCAATATCAATAATGAGGTATTTGCTTAAAAATTTTGATATTTGATTTTCTCTAAATTGCCCAACATGATTTAGTCCTCACACTCTCACTCCCTGCAGTGATTATAAAAACATTTCCTTCTGCAGTAGAGTATATTTTCAGTTAACTATGCAGAGTAAATAATAATATTTTCTAATTTGTCTTCTTATTATTATAAGTATTAGTATTATTAGTATTGTTGTTATTTTACTTGAGGTTTAATTCTTTTGCTATACTTTTCCAACTGCAGATAAGTCATAAGCACATCACGCTGCCCAAAAAGCTGAGCTTTTATTTTGTAGAGCTGTTCCCTACTGCAAAGTCAGCAGCTCTAAATACAGTGAAACAAACATGTAAGGTAATGAACTTAGCAGATTTCCATTTACTATCAAAATATTTAGCTTTTCCTTGGACTAGAAAGTCTATTGTTATTCCTAAGAGTAAAAGCCAATACAAATATCAAGGGTAAAATTAATCTTTAATTCATTACTACCAACTAGTACCCATAAAATTAGTGATAAGCCTACAGCTAAAAAATATAGTAATACTATTGTGGAGACTTAAAGTAATGTAAATGAATTAAGTGAATTCTACAGTCTGAGCTGTGGTCTTAGTTATAAGACAAAACTTTTAACTATCATGAATTTGGAGACACATTCTCTAAAGTCAAGTTCAAATGTGTATCTGATGTCCTTTTGCTTTCAGTACATAGTACATGGATACACACTGATTAAGTGTGTGTCACTGTGGGTTTATGGCTCTGTTCGCCGCCTGTTTTTTTTTTCGGCACCCACCAGTGTGTAAGTGTTAAAGTCCACCTGAGATCTGACTCAGTTTGTGCAAACGTGTGCCTATCTGTGCCTGTCCGCCATCTATGTGCGCACCAGTTGGTCCTGGTTATAATCCAACTTGGCTGCAGCCCAAAATCTTCCTGTCGTCCCTCCCTCCCTCTCTCTCCTCACCCCTCCCTCCCCCCTCCTCTCCCCCCCCTGTCTTACCAGGTCTTGGTATGGCGTGCTCTCCGGAGGCAGGTGGGCCGGTCCTGGGCTGCGTGGCCAGGACGAGGTGGTCGGCGTCGGGGTCCGTGCAGTCCGAGAGAGGGGCGGACATGCAGCCGGTGGCATCTAGTGAGCAGGAGCACAGGGGGGGAAATGACACATGGTCGGGGGGACGTTAGAGGCCGTGAGGGAGAGCCGCAAACACACACGTACACACTCACGCACCGAGCTCATGCTGATACACACACACATGCATGCTGGGTACACACACACCCCAGGGATGTGTAACCACACCCCTGAGTGACCCTGCCCGCCCCTCCTCCACACACACAAACACACACACACCATCTAACTCTCCTCATCTCTGTTTCTGTGTCCACGGCAACTCTAGCACCCCTGAGGTCCAGTGCTTATGCAGCAGAAGCGTGTGTGTGTGTTTGTGTGTGTGTGAGTGTGATTGCAGGAACAAAGCTTTAGGGGCTTACGGGGCTTGTTGGTGAATAGGGGGGATAAAGCCAGCGACTGCAGGCTGCAGAGTCATGGCCTTGTGTGTGTGTGAGCTTCAATAGCCTCGCTGAGCCGGGTTCTATGTGTGTGTGTACGTGCACATGTTTGGCACATGTGTGTGTTTGTGTGCAGGTATGTATATGTCTACGTGTGTGTCCGTGGGTATGGATGATTGTGTGTTTCGGGGGGTGCTCTGGCCTGCATCCCTCCTGCCTCAGCGAGACTATTATTCCCACACACACACACACACACACACACACACACACACATACATACACAGAAACAGAAAAAGAGGGACCCCACTGCTAGGAAACAACAATAACTCAGGGAGGACACCATGTGTATCTGTGAATTTTGTGTGTCATACCTCCATCTTGAGTCATCAGGCTCTGAAAGACAAACAGAAGAAAATCAATATGAGCTATGACAGTGTGTTTTATTTCCAATAAAAACTATTATCATAAGCAGAATATGGAATATATTTAAAGAAATACTTCACCCCCCAAATGCCCTTTTGTGTATCCATTATTCACCCTGTGTGACTTTGACTTCTCGAAGAAAAGCTGCATTCCTCCAGTGAACGAAGAATCCAAAAACAGAGCAAATTCTTGATAAATTGAGGTCATAGGCATCCGAATTTGACAACAGCAAAACTATATCAAAACGTTTACAAACTCTAACACAACTCATGCAGTATAATCCAAGTCTCATTTATCCTGTCGTATGCTCAGTACTTCCTAAACAGACAGTCCTTTCCGACAAGGAACTGAATGGAAGGTGAATTTTAAATCTACGCCGTCTTCAAAGCCAGACTCCACTGACAAAATCAGCAATTTCACATCACTGAACACAGGAGCTGCTGGTCTACCACTGCCTCAATCAGTTAGTTTATTTGCGTTATTGTGTGACTTTCATGTTTAGAAGGGTTAGTTCAGATTCACCAATGTCACAAAATAACACAAACAAACTACCGATCAAGGCAGCGGTAGACCAGCAGCAGCCATATTTAGTAATGTAAAATTGGTAGTTTTGTCAATGGAGTCTGGCTTTGAAAAGAGTGTAGATAAGTTTCACTTTCAGTACAGTACCCTGTCAGAAAGGGCAGTTTGGGAAGTACTGAGCATATAACTGGATAAATGGGAGTTGTGTGAGAGATTGTAAACAGATGTTTTGATTTAGTTTTGTTGTTGTCAAACGTGGTAGCTGATTATTCATTAAGAATTTTCTTAGTTTTTGGATTCTTCGTTCACTGTGGAGGCAGGCGAGAAAAACATTTTCTTCATGAATTCAACGTAAAACTGAGTGAGTAACTGATATACAAATGGTCGTTTGGAGGCTGTACATTTCTTATATTGATAATGAACAATAACTGGCTGTGTTTGAAAAGCAAATTTCAATGATAAGACTTCTTCGGTGCGGACCACTTCCACATTCAGCATGTGCAGCAACATGACTGCCAAGTGCATTTTTAATCACTGCTTTACAATGCAATTAAACATTAACTGCTCTGTTTTGTAATCGCAAAGTAATTCCTCCCATTTATATTTAGCACACTTGTGTTTTTAATCAGAAGTAAAGTCTATACAAGGCTCCGTTTCATTTTCACTGGTTTTTATTTGCTCTAACAAAAAACAATTATTGCGCACACAAAAACAATGCAGTTATAGTGTCATTAAACAAGTAAAGTGACAACAAAGTGCAACAACTGAAAAGCTCCTGTAAGGACGGATGGACTAGTTATTACATGACTATTGTCAGTACCAACCAGATACAGCAGAATGATTTGAGTATCAGCAATTTGTAGCTCTACAAGCAGAACACAAGCTCATACAAGTTCTCAACAGGTAGGGTTCTCATACCTTCTGCAGGTCTTCTATGGAGCGCTCCGTCTCTTTCAGACGTTCCCGTAGAACCTGCTCTTTGGCTGATATCTGAGACTCTTCACTCTCGAGTGTGCCGATTTCAGACTCCAGCCTGCAAACACAAAACATACAGGAGGACATTTCCTCTCATGAAATTGGAAAAGCTGAAGAATCAAGGAGTTAAACAAGTTGAAAAAGGTTTTGTGAGAGGATACAGATTGCTTCCCACTAATGACCACATGACATTTACACTTGGTAATTAGAGACACCTATGGTTAGCTAGGCAGCACGGTGATGCAGTGGTTAGCATTGTTGCCTCACAGTAAGAGGGTTCCTGGTTTGAACCCCCTGTGCAGAGTTCGCATGTTCTCCCTGTGTCAGTGTGGGTTTTCACCAGGTACTCCGGCTTCCTCCCACAGTCCAAAGACATGCAGGTTAACTGGTGACTCTAAATTGACTGTAGGTGTGAATGTGAGTGTGAATGGTTGTTTGTCTCTATGTGTCAGCCCTGTGATAGTCTGGTGATCTGTCCAGGGTGTACCCTGCCTCTCGCCCAATGTCAGCTGGGATAGGCTCCAACACACCCGTGACCCCTCACAGCATAAGCGGCTACAGAAAATGAATGAATATGGTGAGCTAGTCCGAGAAAAAGAAACTATTTTGTGGATCTAAAAAGGCTGCTGTATTTAATTGGATGTGCAACAATGGATGACCTCCGTACACATTTCTTTTTTAGGATTTTGCCTCCAGAAGGAGAGATGCATTTACATTGTACTGTCCAGTGTGTCTGGTTGAATGTGTCTCAGATCATCTGGTTTAAGTCATCAGATTTCTGTGGGGTGCATTTACACCAGCTGTTGGAAGTGTATAAAGCTGATCCAGACATAATGCAGTTGCTTCAAACATATGAAATGACCACACAGAGCTGGGGCATCAGTATAGTCTGATAGTTAATTGGGCAATCGCAAATAAAAAAACAAGTTATTTCAACGTTTGCTGAGGCAACCTCTTGGATTATTTAAAAATCCAGTAGAATGTGACACATACGGCAATAAATTGCAGTTTATCCTGATTGAGTTGTTCATTGAGATTAGTAACAAGGCTGAACAAAGACACGATCCATGCAGCTATCCTGTGCTGCTAATCCTATTTGCAGAAGGCGTGAGTATCAATATGCCTTTGAGAGTGTATGTAATCACCTAAATCCTGATCTGAGCTGAATTTTGGATGTAATTCCAAGCAGTCAGCTCAATTTTACACCAGTGTGAAAGATACAAGTCTCAGGAATGTCCACACAACCAGTTCTGCCATTTTCTTCCTGTGAGGACATTCTCAACACATCCCTATGATTCCCAAAACTGCACCCCAACTATGCTTATTTACACATACAGGCACACACACGTGCATGCTCACATGGACATTTAAGAGATGGATGTCGCAACAATACAAGGAAGCAGTCAGGGAGGAGGACCAGGGTTGCTTCCTCACTCACTGCCAGCACTCACAATGCTTCAGAATACACTCCTCTGGGACCGCAAAGAATGTGTGCGTTAGTGTGTGAGCATGTGTGTGTGAAAGAAATATTAAGGTCCATAACAATGCCGCAAACAGAATCAATGGGGCTCGCTCATAATATCAGCACCAGTGACCATGAACACTAGTACACATCGTCCTGACTGGACATTTAAGGAAAGTGGTTGAGAGAAACATGAGTGCACAGGTTGTTAGGCCAAGTACAACTGTGAATTGTATTACATTTTCAAAATATCAGCAATGAACAGGGAGGATATTTTCGGATTTGTTGGCACTAACAATTCAAAGATTGTGTTTTGCCAGAGAAACCTAGTGCTTTGGCTCTGATCACTGAGGTTTAACTAAACAAATCGAGTCGACACATCACTTCACCATCTGCCAGCGCTCTTACTCAGGTTCATCTTCAGTGGTGTGATGTTTGGATGTTGTACAGCTACTTGAAGACTGATACTGTGGTACTATAAAATGCTTCAAAGCTTTGATGGCTGTGAGGGCCAAGTACGCTTCTCTATTGGTATACATGTGCTCAGAAACCATAGCCAAATAGTGCCAATCATGTGGCAGCAACTCAATGCATTAGGGCATGCAGACATGGTCAAGACGACCTGCTGAAGTTCAAACTGAGCCTCAGAGTGGGGAAGAAGGGTGATTTAAGTGACTACTGATCTACTGGGATTTTCACACACAACCATTTCTAGGGTTTACAGAGGATGGTCCCAAAAAGAAAAGATGTCCTTTGAGCAGCAGTTCTCTGGGTGAAAATGCCTGATGTCAGAGGAGAATGGCCAGACTGGTTCAAGATAATAGAAAGGCAACAGTAACTCAAATAACCACTAGTTACAACCAAGGTCTGCAGAAGACCATCTCTGAACCAACAACACGTCCAACCTTGAAGCAGATGGGCTACAGCAGCAGAAGACCACACCAGGTGCCACTCCTGTCAGCTAACAACAGGAAACTGAGGCTACAGTTCACACAGGCTCACCAAAACTGGACAATAGAAGATTGGAAAAACGTTGCCTGGTCTGATGAGTCTGGATTTCTGCTGCAACATTCAGATGGTAGGTCAGAATTTGGTGTCAACAACATGAAAGCATGGATCCATCCTGCCTTGTATCAACGGTTCAGGCTGCTGGTAGTGGTGTAATGGTGTGGGGGAGATTTTCTCGGCACACTTTGGGCCCCTTAGTACCAACTGAGCATGGTTTAAACACCACAGCCTTCCTGAGTATTGTTGCTGACCGTGTCCATCCCTTTATGACCACAGTGTACCCATCTTCTGATGGCTACTTCCAGCAGGATAACGCACCATGTCACAAAGCTCAAATCATCTCAAACTGCTTTCTTGAACATGACAATGAGTTCACTGTACTCCAATGGCCTCCACAGTCACCAGATCTCAATCCAATAGAGCACCTTTGGGATGTGGTGGAATGGGAGATTCACATCATGGATGTGCAGCCGACAAATCTGCAGCAAATGTGTGATGCTATCATGTCAATATGGACCAAAATCTCTGAGGAATGTTTCCAGCACCTTGTTGAATTTATGACACCAAGAATTAAGGCAGTTCTGAAGGCAAAAGGGGTCCCACCTGGTACTAACAAGGTGTGCCTAATGAAGTGGCCTGTGAGTGTATATTATTAGTATATACAACCTTTATTTAATTGGGTAAAAATTATTTGAAAGAGAGGCCTGAGTGTAGTGCAGTAATTGTGAAAATATGAAGATGTGGTGTATTGGGTTGGCGCTGCAGCAAGCTTGTTCTGCAGTAAGAAATAAAGCTTTTGCTGGCTGCATCTGTTACACAATTCTGTTATATGTCTCTGGTGAATGTCATAACGCATTACCTCAGATGTGAAATCTTGCTTTGAGCGGAAATCTGAACAAAACAAAGCAGTTTCTTATCATATAATTGTCCTTGTGTAACTGTGCCCTTAAGGTATTGTCTGGATCAAAATAATCAGCACAGCTCGGGGTCATTCAGTTTTCCTTGAAATCAGACAATTCAAGGGTCTAAGCATTCAAAAACAACAGCATATTGTCTCTTGCTAAGCCGAGAATGTCACAAATATAGCAACATGCACGCAAGCTATTTTAACACCACCTTCGATTCTGAAGAGAGCCAGCATCTTATCAGAGTGTATTGTCCATTAGAATGCAATATATCAGGGTCATGGGAGACTGGGACTTGACAGTAACTTTGGCAATTAAAGTGACAGTTCACTCCAAAATCAAAAATGCATATATTTCTTCTTACCTGTAGTGGTATAGTGTTGGAGATATCGGCAGTAGAGAGGTCTGTCTTCGCTCAAATATAATGGAACTAGATGGCACTCTGCTTGTGGTGCTCAAAGCACCAAATGATTTTGAAAAACTCGTCAGGAATGTCTCTTTCCAGAAATCATGACCTGGTTACTCAAGATAATCCACAGACCTTGTTGTGAGCAGTTTCACGTAAGAACTATTTTCTTCTGCCGAACTACACCTGCCAACTGTATCAGAATGCAGAAGGAAGCGTGCATCTACTCATAGACGAGAGGCTCATGCTCGTGACAGCTCAGATGTAAACATAAATGGCGTTCTACTCGGCTGAGCTGGAACATTAGCTAGCTAGGTGCTAGGTGAGCTAGCAGTCGATGCACAGTGATGCGGTTGGCAGGTGTAGTTCAGTCGAAAGACAATAGTTCCTACATGAAACTGCTCACGACAAGGTCTGTGGATTATCTTGAGTAACTGGGTCATGATTCCTGGAAAGAGACATTGCTGTTGGGATTGTCAAATGTATTTTTTGGCACTTTAAGCACCACAAGCCGAGAGACATCTCTACATCTGATAATTCCAACACTCGGCTCCAACTCACACCAAAACAATCTAGATTGATAAACAGCACTACAGGTAAGAGGAAAAAACATGTATTTTTGATTTGCCGTGAACTGATTCTTCAATGGGCTACAGTATATTGTATTGGGCATAAAGTAGCATAAAGTACCTTATAAAAACCTTGATACTTACACTGTTACTTTCAGCACTCTTACTTGTTCTTGAGTGACTTTCAAGTATTTTGTCCGATTTTATAGTTGAATATATTTTGTGATGTAGCAGTCTTGGCAGCAAAGAGACAGTGGTTGTATACAGTTATACTGTACCATACATCACATATTCAGCTCTGGCCTTGCTGGTATAAGAAAACAATTACCTAACCTTGGACTGAGTTGCAGGGACTGCACCACAATGTGTAGTAATCAGTTCATGTAAATACACCACTGCTACTTGAAATTGATTTGTAGACTAATATAGACAAAATTTTTAGAGTGATGATGGGTAGAAAGGTAACTACATCTACAGACATGGGATCAATCTGAATGCCAAATGTCAACAAACAAAAGAAAAACACCCAACAGGTAAGAGCAGAAGGTATAGATGAGAGGGACAGGGTTAGAGAAAGGGTAGGTAGTAATTGGTATTAACGATTTACATCACAACATTACTTTTCTACAACCTTAAGTATATTATTTAAAGTAGTATTTCTGCAGCAAAACAAACTCACTCTGACTCACACTGTGATCAGTGTTGTGC